TACCAGCATATTATGGGGGTACAAATGTTAAGATTACGTATATTGCCCTTGTTGCCCCCCTCGAGTCAGAGCTTCAAGCGTGTCCATCCCCCAGTTGGTGCGCATGGCACTCATTATGTATGTATGTACCCATCCCCTCCGCCCCCACCTGCCCTACACCTGATAGATGTTATTCCTATAGGTGTTGTTATAACAGCCTGAATGAACTAACACAACTAGATATCTACATCCTTTAAGAAATTTAGCTTAGGTCACTTTGAATCATTATAATTTTATGTTCTTATACTAATTTTCCTGTTGTGAAAAGTGATAAGTAACGTATTTTCACAGATAAGCCAAAAATGTTTCAGACATTAGAGTTTCTGTTCAGTTCTAAAAAAGTATGACTAGATAATGAATCCAATGCGTATGCATATTTATTACAAAAGATAAAAATAAACTTTATTATTTAGGTATTACAATATATCAACACATGACACAATATTATTATTCTCACAAATTTAAGATTTCTTAAACTTAATCCTAAATGATAGCTTGGAAGCCATCTTCCTTATGTGCTGGTTTGATAACAATACTCAGCGATTCAGAATTGCAGCCTTCAGGATCAGAACAAATTTCTTCACTCCTGGACTCCAGTTTTGTTAAATATGCCCGATCATATAAATCTCCTTAAATTACAGGTAGCTTTGCTGCTTCTGCTCTAGTTAAATTGTGTGAGCCACTGTGCTTGCAAAATTATTTAACTCTTCAGATTTAGTGTCCCAAGAACTGACAGAAAGTATATTCTGTCCTACATATTGGTGAGGGAAAGCTACACCTTTTCAAAATTACAAATATATAACCTTGGTTCCCACAAAATTGTAGGACTTCGTTTCTCAGTTGAAAACTCTTCACATATACCAGTCTTTGAAATCTAACTTCCGCCTTAGATTTTTCCTAGATTACAAAAATACAGCAGCGAAATAAGCCTTTCTGTAGCATTTCTTTTATGCTAATAATAAAAGCAGCTTAAATTTGTTTAGTGCCAAATACATATGAAGCTACATTGTTCAAGGAATTTTGAATATATTTTATTTAATCCTTCAATTTAGTTATTATATCCATTTCACAGTAGAGAAAATAAGTTTTACCTAAAGCTGCACTGCTAGTATTAATAGTAATTAAGATAGTCCAAATCTGACTGTAAGTCCAATTTTCTTTCCACTATATCAATCTTACCTATTCTCAACATTTGTTTTCCAAGAGTAGATGTATACATGGACAAATTCACAAATTCACATGAAGCCACTGTGAATATTTGGGTACAAGCCTTTCTGTGGACAAATATATTTATTTTTCTTGGTTAGATACCTGGAAATGAGATCACTGAATCAAATGTTTACCTTTGTAAGAACTTTCAAATCTTTATTCCCAAAGTGATGGTACCTTTTGCATTCCTATCAGCAGTGGATGAGAGTTTTGGTTGGTCCACATCATCACTAACATTTGAGTGTTGTCAGCCTTTTATAATTTTAAACTTTCTGGTGGGGTCTAGCAGTAACTCATCATGGTTTTAATTTGTTTTTCTCTGATGAATGATGATGAAGGCCATGAAGATAGTCTTGTAGTTTTTTCTTTTTTTTATTTTAGCATATTATGGGGGTACAGGTGTTAAGGTTACATATATTGCCCATGTCCCCCTCCCCTCTCGAGTAAGAGCTTCAAGCGTGTATATCCCCCAAATGTTGCACATCTTGTAGTTTTTTTAATAAAAGCTTTATAGCTTTAGTTTTTACAGTTAGGTCTCATTTTCCATCTTGAATTAATTTCTGGGTATCATGTGAGGCAAAGGTTCATTTGGGTTCCATATGGGTATATCCAGTGAATCCTGCACCATTGTTAAAAAGAGCCATGTAAGTGTGGGTATATTTCTGGATTCAAATGACTATCATTGGTCTCACTGTCTATACTTAACCCAATATTGCATTGTCTTCTCTTTGACTTTTTCACTGAATCATTTTTTTAACTTCTTGCTATAGGGATTACAATATACGTCTTTTACATATCACAGTATACATTTAGAGTTGAAATTATATTACTCTGTGTGAAATATAGAAACCTTGCAACAGTATAGTTATCCTGTACCTTCTGTTACTTATATATACACATATGTCTACATACTTTGTGAAGACCACAGTAGATTTATTTATGCTTAAACAGTCATATGCTTTTTAAAAAATTTAAAAATATATTTTGGTCTTTCATTTTATTCAAAACACCTTTATTGGGGCATAATGGGAATACAACAAACTACATATTTAAATTATATAATTTGATGTCTGACCTATGTATATACTCATTGAACCATTAAGTCAATCAAGATAACGAGCATATCTAATACTTTCATAAGTTTTCCTTTTCCCCTTTGTAATTCTGTGCTCACAGTAGCTGCTATTCCTAAACAGGCAACCACTGATCTGCATTCTAACATAGATTAATGTCAATTTTTAAATTATTTAAAAGTATCCTACAAGTTTTGCTATGTTTTTTTTTTTAATTTTCATTTATTTAGCTCAAAATATTTTCTAATATCCACTTGAATTTTTTCTTTGGCCCATATATTATGGAGAAATGTGTTATTTGGTTTCAAAATATTTGAAGATTTTCCATATATCTTTTTTATTATTCATTTAATATTTAAATCAATCATGGCAGCCATTTATTTTATATGACTTGAATCGTTTTTACATTTATTGGGGCATGATTCAGCATGTGGTCTGTGCATGTGGTCTGTCTTTGTAAATGTTCCATGCACACCTGAGAAGAATATATATTCTGTTGTAATAAGGTGGAATGTTCTATAAATGCCCATTTGGTCCAGTTGGTAGATAGTGTGGTTCTATCTCTTTACTCATCTTGTAATTGTTTTATAAACTATTGAGACAGTGTTTTAAAAGCTCTAACTTTATTTGTAGATTCCTCTTTTTCTCCTGAAACATTTTCCTTCATTAATTTTGAGGCTCTATTAGAAGTGAAAAAAATTAGGATTATCATATCCTCCTAAGGAATTGACCCTTTATCATTATAAAATTATTTTCTTTATTCCAGGAAATATATTTCATATATTTACTAGAAGCTGTATCATCTTCACTTATGCTTTGTCATTTATTGGTCTTTTTAAACTCTGTATTTTATATTTATATATTTTCTACTGCTATATATTTAATGCCCAACTCTATCATCTGGATAATTTCCAGCACTATTTTGATACTGTTTTTTCTTTTTATTATGGGCAATATATTCTGCTTATTGAGTGCCTGGTAATTTTTTTTTTAATTTTTAATTTTTTCATATTATGGGGGTACAAATATTGTTAGGGTTACATATATTGCCCCTGCCATTCCTCCCCCTGCACCCTCCCCCCCACTTTACCAAAACATCAAGCATGTCCTACTCTCAGGTGGTGGGCATCGCACCTATTTTGTAAGTGTAAATTCTTCCACTCCTCCTCCCTCCCATTTGCCCACCACCTGATAAAAGTTTGTTTGTTTGTTTGTTTTTTTCCTTTTTTTGACCTTTGGGTTACATTGTATATCTTAGCCTTTCCCTTGGAAGGTTTAGATGTATTCCCTCTCCCTCCCCCCACTATGCTCACCACAACACTAAGATGTGTATCTCCCCCTCCCCCAAACCCTAGTGGGCACTATCCCCATTGGAGCATCATAGTTTTAATCAGTCAGTACCAATTTGATGGCGAGTAGATGTGGAGCCCGTTTTCTTGATCTTGAGTCACCTCACTTTGGATAACGGGTTTAAGCTTAATGCAGGATAGCATAAATGGTGCTAATTCACTGTCATTTCTTAGAATTGAATAGTATTCCATTGTGAGCATATACCAAATTTTAGTTATCCACTCGTGAATTGACGGACACTTGGGTTGTTTTCATGATCTTGCAATAGTGAATTGTGCTGCCATAAACATTCGGGTGCAGATGTCTTTACAGTAGAATGTCTTACGCTCTTTGGGGTAGACGCCCAACAATGCTATTGTTGGGTGGAATGGTATTTCTATATCTAGCTGTTTGAGGTATCTCCATATTCTTTTCCAGAGAGGTAATTTTTGATTAGATGATAGACCCCATTTTAGATTTGTTCTTGTTTGATTCACACATTTTTTGAGTTCCTATTAATATTCTTGAGCATTCTTCCAAGGCACAATTAAGTTACTTGGAAACCCTTTCACCCTTGTGGATACTATCTTCAAACTTTAGTAGGTGGGAGTGGGGTTGAGTTTAATGTTAATTTTACAAATTACTGAGGAAAATCTTTCTTAGTAAATTCCGCCTGTTGCTTCATGAATTATTTAGTAGTCCACTTTGGCTTTTGAGAGCAGGCACTATTTCTCACTCTAAGCTTTAAGGATTGTTATTACGAATCATTAATGGTGGTTCTTTTTCTGGCCTCAGGTATTTTCCATCCATGTACTTAATATTCTATTAATTCTTTGCATAGCTCTGGATCCGTGTGTGTGTGTGTGTGTGTGTGTGGGTCTGTCTGTCTGTCTGTCTGTCTCCTCTCTCATATACTGCACTGTGAATTTTAGTTGCCTTGGATTCCCTAAAATCTCAGATCTATCTCCTTTACTCAGAGAGATGGCTGAGTTCTGCCTGAGTTACATTCTCCAGACAATAGGCTGAGGCAATGGTATAGCTCTCTTTACCATCTCTCAGGGATCACTTTTGTATTGCATTGCTGGATGTGATTCATTTATTTTGTCTGGATTTTTAGTTGTTTCAGGTGGGAGCATAAACCTGGTTTATTTTTCTCTGTTTGGCTGGAAGAAAAATTGCTCTTTTATATTTATCAACATTTTACATCTGTATCCCTTCATATATAATCAAGTTATCATCTAGTGTTATATTTATCTTGAATTAATTCCTTTAGCATTTTTGTGTGCAAATCGGAATGCAATAAATTGCCTTGATTTTGGTTTACCTAAAATGTGTATTTTTCCCCTTCATTTTTAAAGATACATTTTCTTAAATATAGCATTCCAGGTTATTGAGAGTATCGTTTTTATTTCAGCACATTAGAGACACTGTTCTACTGTCGTCTAACCTCCATATTTTTCTTAATAAGAAGTCAGTTTTTATTCTATTTCCTGTGCCCATGTTTGTAACATGTCATTTAAATCTGAACACTTTTAGGTGTTACTCTTTATCTTTTGAAATCTACATTTTCACAATTATGTGGTCTGTTGAAGTTCTTAGATCTGTAGTTTGATGCTTTTTCTCCAAATTTGTGATATTTTTGCTTTAATATATATTCAAGTAATTTTCTGTCCTATTCTCTCTGCCCTCTCTTATGGGACTCCAATTATACATATGCTAGTGTGCTTAATATTTCTCTCTAGTATTCAGTTCAGTATTTTAACTGATCACCATTCAAGTTTACTAACTGCCTCCTATCTCTTACCAATCTCATGGAGTAAAATATTCATTTCAGTTATTGTACTTCGTGACTTCAGTGCTCTGATTTGGTTCTTTTATAGTTCTAATCTGTTGATACTCCCCATCTGTTTTATTTATTCATTTATATTTTCCTTTAAATCATTGAATATATTTTAATAGCTACTTTAAACTCTTAGACTGCTAATTACAATACCTTAATAATTTAAAGAATGTTTTCTATTAACTACATGTAAATACCATGTTTTAATGTTTCTTTTTCATGTTCCTGATTTTTGAATGGACATAATAAATTATACATCTTAGAGATACTGGATTTTCTTATAACAAATGATGTCTTGCCTTTCCCATTTGTGGGCAGCCACTAAACTCTCCACTCACATCTTTCAGATTTGAGTTGCTATACTTTTGTCAGGACCCTATACTCTTTTTCTTTTTTATACATTAAAAATTCAGTGTTTTACACACAAAAATTCAGTGTGCAGTTTTTTACGCATTTTTTTGTTTTCATCTCTTATGCAAATTCCTCTTTTCCAGATTTTCATCTCTAAATTTCCACATGTTTTCCCAGTACTAAACTTTGTCCTCTGACACATAGAGCTAACAAGGCCATGATTTTCTACTGTAGGAGCAGTGCCCAATCAAAGGGTACCCTCAGACAAAAATCTGCCAACTCAAAAAATCTCAGTTGCTCCAGTTTCTGTTTAAGAGCAGACTCCCCTCCAGCTTCTGTTAGCTTTCATCATTCTACATTGCTTTCAAATTTATTTTTTCTCTTCTATTTTATTATTTCTCTCTGCAGGAGAATCATTCTAACTACAAAAGCTTTAATATTTTATCCAGTTGACTTTCTTTAGGAAACTTTTCCCAAAGTGTTTTACTCCTAATATATGTTGAGTTTGGGCAATCTCTTTTGTGAACTTGTAGGATATTTTGTTCTTTCTTTTAGAAAATTTATCACACTGTAATGAAATAGTTGATCTATTAACTTGTGTATCTTCCTAAGAGACTGTACATTTCTTGAAGATGATGATGGATTATTTACTTTTATAAGCCTATCACTTAACACAATATCTTTCAAAAGTAAGTGCTTAAATAAATTTATTCAATTAAATTTAACTTTTAGTAGGTAGAATTATATCACCTGTTTTGTAATTTCTTCTTATGTTTAGCAAGTCAGTGTGATAACTTACAAATGAATATGAGCACACTTTATAGTGTTGCCCTTATAATTATCATTTTTTTGACTGTTCTTTATCTCAAAAATACTAAAGCACTATAATGTAATTAAAAAAATACTTTTAGCCTTTCAAGTCTTCACTTAATTCTGGTAAAACTGCTATAAAATAATAAAATGTACCCACACAGTTTTATTTTTATACTGTAAGTGAAAACATCCTACTTAGTCCAATATGTCATCATATTTATTTCCTTGAAGATAAATGGGCATTCATAACTGTTTAGTTCTTATAAACTGATCATTAATTTCATTTATTCTCTTACTACTATAGAAAACAATTCAAAATACCTTATTTTGTGTTTTGATTAGAACAGTTCCTTTTCCTCTTAATGAGAAGTTTTAACTTCCTTTGAAGTGCAAGATATATAATACCCATAAGATATAAACAATTTAGAAAATCATAAAGATATTTTTCTACCAATAGTGCATTCTAAATATACTGTTTAAGCAGAGTCATTCACTATTCAAAATGTTGCTTAAACAGAACCATTATTTAGTATTTATTGTTTTCACCCCTTCAAATTTTTTATATAGCACCAAAATTTCTTATAACTGGCATAAGGGTTTTGGTTAAATGACAGAGACATAATTAATTTGGGGCATCACTTTCTATCTGGAAAGAAAGAACATTTGTTCCCATAGGAAAAAATAATTAGTAAGCAGTCAACATAAAATAATGGAAAAAATAGTTGCTTTCTAGATAGCAGATGACTACTTCTACATATATATCATTAAAAATAACTGAATAAAAAAGACAGACTGTGATATATTTAGTCAAATGAACTCTTTTTGTTTTCAGTTTTACTCCTATGTGTACACACAGACACCCCAAATAGGATTTTTTATCATCCTTTTCAACCCAGTGTTTAAAGATTAAAGTGGAAAGGAAGAATTTAAAAGAAAAAGAAATAAAAAACATTTATCACGGTCTTAAAGGTTTTGTTTTATTATGAACCATCTGAATTGCTACCATTTTGGAGGAGGCTATACCCTCTGCTGAGAACACTGCTGTTTTGTTGCCCGAAACACTGCTAGCAGGTGGTAAAGATGAGGAAAAGACAGAAAATGAACATGTGCCACTTAAGAAAGAATAGCTTGCTCTAGCTAGCTCTCAAAAATATTAAATGGCAATTTTACAACATGTTGTGTTAGAAAATGATAGTCAAATCTACAATGTCCTAAAAAAGTTAAAATACATTTTACCAAGAGACTATAAATATTGCTGCTCATATTCTCTACAACAGGAGCTGGTAACATTTAATAATAATTAATATTATTACTGAGAGCCTTTCTCTCTCAAAAGTTGTATAAGCTGGCAAGGTGGATTAGTGAAATTTCATTTTTGTTATGTTGAGGCTCTGTAAAATGACACATTCAATTTCTACAGCCTGAGTTGACTCAGCTCTTTAAGTATATATAAATTATATATATATACACATAAATTATATATATATATGTATAAAATTGCTTACTCTAATGCTTACTGAAGGTTCTCCTTTGAACGAATCTTTAAATACTCAATGTGTTCTAATGTCCTGGGATTTTTCCTTTTCTGCTCAGGAGTTCCTTCAACAGAGCTGACTGATTTCCACTCTGAGTCAGGGCTTATTTAAAGTAGAAGTCAGGCAATCTGCTATTTCATGGAGGATGACCCTAAAGTGTCTTAAGAGAGAGTGACAAGTGGAGATGAAAAATTAAATTTCTATGTTCACCACTATTCTACAGTGTCAATCACAAGACAACAGCTTCATGTAATTTACCATATAGAATATTTTTATAACTATCATCTTTACTCTTAGAATTCAATTTTTAAATGTAAAAATACAAAACTTAATATGCCTTTGAATTAAATTGACAAAGAATATTAGAAGGAACTACAAAATATCATCTATCAGCAAAAAATTAGATATAATATTATCAGAGAATGCTGAGAAAACTATGCTATTAATTTATAAACTTCTACTAGAAAGATCTTGAATAGGTATCAGGTGCTACATACTCAAGGAATGACCATTTGATGCCTATTTTGCTCCAGGAACTGTTGCATGTATTCTGAGGATGCAGCAGCAAACTTGCTTTTGTCTTTAAAGAAGTTACAAAAGCTCAGCTCCACCTCGTTCTTGAGCCAATTATTATACTAAGCAAGCATATTGGGTTATTACATGGTGCTAGTAGCAGGTGGGATCTGAAATAAACCTCGCCACTATGAGCAGCTGTGCTCAATGTGTTCTAGTGAGTTCATGGTCTTCTTTATCTTTCCTTGACATGGACTTTCTGTTTGGATTATTTTGTCCCCAGTAAGGGTAGAGTCTGATCCTAAATTCCAATCTATACTTTTCAATCAGTATTTAGAAAACTTGTCTGAACAACCTGATAACTCATCCCAAATTATGATGTCTAGGCCTAACTGATTCTGAGTATTGCCACTGTCTAGGCAACTTGACCACCTTACAACAATGGTTTGCTGAACTTCCATTTCAGATACAGCTCATACTCACCTTAATTATGTAAAGCAAAAATCAGCCAATGAAGGTCTAAAGGGCAAGTCTAATGCTTCCCTTGTTTTTGTAAATAAGGTTTTTGGAACACAGCCACACCCATTCAATTGCATATGGTCCATGGTTGTTTTCATGCTACGATGGCAGACTTGAGTAGTTACAGTGCCGACCATATGGACCACAAAGCCGGAGATTTTTGCTGTCTGGCTCTTCACAGAAAAGTTTGCTGAGCTTTGCTTGATAGCTTCTATTTGAGCAGTTGTTGACTGTAGACATGACCTTTCTGATAAATAGATTTGCATTTTTACCTCCAATCTAAACATTTTTATTGTTCTTCTTGCCCAGTGTCTTCCTCTGGTTCCAGTTTATCTTCCCAGGAAAGTTTACCTGACATATAACATTAAACTATTTCTTTATTATTCACAGAATATATTTTTAAAATAATCCTTTCAGGCATGCTGATTATAATAATAGTGAGATACAGAAGAAAGGACTCTCTAATTTCATAGGCATGGGTCTTATCTCTTTCACTTCCCTGTGAAACACAGAGACAATCAAGTTTGTACTAGATTTATAAATCCTCTGCTATTGAAAATAACCCAAGAAAAATAGCCTTGTGTTTTTTAACAGAAATAACCTGTATCTTTTAGTACCCTCTATACTTGGATTTCTGTTCTGTTCTCTTTTTCCCCAAAGAGTTGATTTGAAATTGTAAATTCTGGAATTTGCAGGTGAAGAGTCACAGTTTAAGAGCTCAAGTGTCAAAAGTCAATGGGGCTAGGTTTAATTCCTAATGCCACTGCTACTATCTATGAATACACTATAATACTTCATTCTGAAATTTTAAATTACCAAAATAAGTTTAAAATAAATAAGTTAGGTTTTGTCACTATGATCAACAACACTGACTGCAGTGAACGTATTAAGCTTTTATTTTACATTTTCCAAAATTTATTTGAAAAATATTACTTTATATTTTGAATAAGCACATATAGACTTCATGTAGATATGGGTCTACATGACATTTCAAAGGCTGTAAGTCATCAGTATGCACTTGCCACAATTGGCATCATCATTAATATTGAGCACCCCCCACAGGGCCTGGCACATGATGAAGTGCTATATGGATGAATCTGATAATTGGAGTGTTCTCTCCAGTTTTGAAACTATGCCATCTTTACTGTCAGTAATGCTTGGGTAGAGCATGTAAGAGTCCTTTTAAAATGTTGATCACATTTTATCTTGGTTTTTGCTAGAAAAATGATGCCTTATTTTTATGGACTATCCCCAGAATGACCACATATAGCCCACTAAGTATCTCTGAAGCTTCATGCACACATTATAAATCCTTTGTGGGATAAAGTTTATTTTTTTAAAATGATTGTATAGAAAAACAGTTCCATTTGCAAATAATATTACCCTATAATTAGATGCTTACTGGTATGTTAACATTTAGAAATATAACAATGCAGATATTCAAAAGGAAATTCAAAAACCAAAAACTTTTAAAAAGAAAGAAAAAATGAACACAGAAAAACAAGCAAAACAAAGAAAATAAAAATGGTCAAGTCAAATTGCAAGCATTTGTCATGTTCCTTGGTGTAATATAATAAATAATGCAGTAAGGGTGAGGGATTGCAGACCCTTACTTATAGCACATGTATCTTTTGGAGTCCACAGTTGTGTATAAATTATGTAAGGTGAATATAATATTTATATTATAAATAAATATATATTATGATATATTGCACATATATTTACTTTACTATATAATACATAACATGCAAATAAAGGAAATCCGGTGAGATTAAATGCAAAAGAAGCATTTATGTATATATGTCAGTGTTGCTTACACAGAGAGATATTGAAAAAGTTAATTCTCATATTAGTAACAGTAGTTTAATCTGAGTAGTATATTTAGGATAGTTTTTAATTTTTTTCTTTATACTTTTATATATTGTTCAAAACATTCTACTGAGGATGTAGTTTTATTGAAAATGTGTTATTTTTTGTAATCACAAAAATATATTCTTTCCAAAAATAGATCTGATCAGTCTCTTTCTTTTCCTATCAATAACCACACATTGATCAAAAGTGTAAGTTTCAATTCCTTGGTATAACATATCATATCCTTCATGATATGATTCTGCCTAACTGCCTCACCTCATTTTCAGACTAATCCACCATTATGTTGTATGCTTCAACAATACCAAAGTATTTTCCAGAGAGGCCATTTCATTCATCCTTCTATGCATTTGATGAGGCTTTTCCTTGTTTCTTTTTTCACTTTCTCACCCTTCAAGCCAGTGCTCAAGCAATATTGGCTAGCTCACTTAACCTATACGAGAGCCAATCCACTGCCCAGAGAATTTAACCAGGCCAAATAATGAAAACAACATTGACTCTTCAATGTCTAGGAGTGCCCAGTTGTATATTGCTGCCTCTCTCTCCTTGCCCAGGTCTAAATCCTATAAAGTATAGATCTAAACTTTTTACTCTATCTTCTCTTTGCTCTGATACCTCTGTGAAATGACAGCTAAAAGAACAAAAACAACAGCCAAACAAACAAACAAAAGCAACCTCTTTTGGACATTGCCTGATAACTTCTGATCCTTTGAGGAGAACTACACAATCTCTTTTCCTGCTAAACCTCACTAATCTGCTGACTTCAATTAATTTGGTCATTCCTCTGTTAAAATAGCAACACACAATATATTTAATCACTGCATTTCATAAGTATCCGGGCACATTAAGTCCCACAATATGATATCTCTGGAATTAGAGATGCATTTCAAAATGAATGGTATGGTGTTTCAGTATTATGGCATAGGTAGATTGATAAATAACTGTTAGTTCCATAGTGTTATATAAAAAATGGTGTGTCTTACAATCAGTAGCATCTTAGAATTGTTTATGTTTATCTATGTGTGTCTGTGTATGCAGTTTTCCCATGGTTTTTGGTAAAGTCCTGTAGAATATAAATTTTTTAATCAGAGTGAATGCTATGTCTCTGGTATACTTGATGCTTACTAGCCATTCAATAATCGTAAGTAAAATGGTTCAATAATATCCTTCCCACAGTAACATATGTGGATGCATGTGGTCTCATTGGCATTTTTGTGCCAGTACTTGAATAGTCTAGTTACCAGACTCTAGTAAAACCTGGAATGTGCTCCAAGATCTGGTTGACAGTAATGTAGGCAAATCTCCAAAGCTGAGTATGAGCAGGGGAAACTAAGGTCAGCCTACAAACTCTAATTAGAAATTCTATTAAAAATGAGAAAACTTCAGGCAAACTTAATTCAGTTCTGCTAAAAATTTTGCAGAGAAGCATGATTGGGTGTTATCAGGAAGCATATGTATAAGATCTAATCAAAATTATGTGGAAAGTGCTTTGTTGTGAAATTACTACCTTTGGTTAACAGGACAAAAGTGTCTGTGTTTGTTTTTTGTTGTTGTTGTTTTATACACTATTACTATGTCATCCTCTATTTTCTAACTTAATGACTTATACAATTCAAGGTAGATTTTAGGATTCTTGACTCACCATTCCCTTTAGAAATCATATTTAATCAATTACCAAATATAAGATTCTACATCTTAATCACTCCTGAGGTAGACTCAATTTAGTTGCTCTACTTCTAACAACACTAATACAACCATATTTATCATTTCTCCAAATTGCTGTAAGAGAGGTATTTTTGGAAAAGCACATTTGATTATATTCATTCTCTGCTCTAAATTACTGAGAAACTCTATAACTAATAATATAAAATCTTATTTACTTGGTAAGATACTTACAATTCCTTTATTCTTTTATAGTCTTGTCCTGATATGGAAGAGTCTCATTTATTTTTAATGATACTGACAATTTCAGTCTGGTTTGTCGTCTAGAATGTCCCATATTCTATATTTGTATAATTGTTTCCTCATGGTGATGTTGGCCTTGTTCTTTTATCTTCTTATTTCCTATAAGGACCTTGAGTCTAGGGTAGATGCAGATTAAACATTTTGGGGATTAATATTTTATAGATGATCTTGAGTACTTATATTATACTACATCAGGAAGACCATGATGTAAAGGCATAATTTTGTGAGTAATCCTAAATTTGATCATTTTTCTAATGTGTATTTTTTTAAATTTACACTTAACAATGTATGGAATGATACATGGACATACTTTTCATGTTGTTCTCTAAATTATTCCATGTAATGATTTAAGAACCCACTCATTAAATATGCTTAACTGATTTACAACACCGAGTGTTATAAAAATGGCAACTTTTAAATTTTACCATTTATTAGTTCTCATTCTTCTGTAAGGGCATTGCTTTCATTATTTTTACCTTCACCTTTATCATCAACTCATTGGTATTTATTTATTCAATCTGCTAAAAATCAAAAGGATGTATTCTTTTACTCCTTAAATCAACTTTTACTATTTGCAACAAAAATCACTGACTATAATCAATAATTTAAGAACAACTTTACAATTTGAAGTTGTTTGAATCTTACAAGATAAACTAAAATCAATGACTTTAACAAAAGAGAATGCATGTTTATGATTTTTCCATGTGGTAAAGGAAAGAGATAGCATCGAGTATTTACTGTGTGAAACCCCAGTTCTGGGAATTCTCATGCAGGTTCTTTTTTTCCCCCCTAATTTTTACAACTTGACTCATAGCACTTATTCTCTACTCCTTACCTCCCATCTCATTTTATGGATGAGGTAATCAATACTCTGAAGACTAATTAAACTGCTCAAAGACACATAATTAGAAAAATACAAGCAGAATTTAAAGTCAGGTCTATTGGTTTCTTCCCTATACCTTAGTGTCTCTCTGAGATTCTTCTGGTCACCATTATTTCACTGTCATGATACATAACAGCAATTGTTTAAGTCAGGGTTCTCCAGAGAAACAGAACCAATGGGATGTGTATGTGACACAGAGAGAGAGAAAAATAAGGAAAGAGAGTGTGATTTATTTTAAGTAACAGGCTTACACAATTGTCGTTACTGGCAAGCCAGAAATCCATAGGTCAAGCCAGCAAGCTAGAGGCCCAGGGAAGAGTTAATGATGCAATTTGAGTCTGAAGGCAGTCTGGAGACAGAATTCCATTTTCATCAGGGACCTCAGTCTTTTTATCTTAGGCCTTCAAGAAATTAAGTGAGGCCCATTTCCATGATGGAGGGTAATTTGTTTTATTCAAAGTTTCTACAGATTTAAATGTTAATTACATTAAAAAGTACCTTTGCGGAAACTTTAAGACTGGTGTTTGACCAAATATATGTGCACTAAAGTCTAGCCAAGTTGACACATAAAATGAAACATCACAATGTTATGTAGTGGATATGCTAAATTTCTACATTATTTGTATATGTTTATAGTGCAAACTTCACACATGTGATATCTCCAATGAGTCCTTTTTCTCATTGGAATAGAGCTCTACACTTCAGTTCCTTAAATTTTTTGTTCTTTATTATTTCTTGGGTTGTTTTATGGATTTATTAAACTAATTCTATTTACCTATTCCTCAACAATGTCTAGTCTTTAGTAAGAAGTATAATATGTCACATTTTAAATTAATTGCCATCGGAACTATAAAGACCTTAGATTATAGCTTTAACTTTTAACCCAAATGTGGTCTTTATTTATGCAGACTTTTTGCTGCATTTTGCATTCACTCTTAAAGCTTAAAAACAATTTTATAGTGAAAGCTACCAGCAGCGATTGTGTTCTTTCACGAGAGTAATAGTGACCCTGTACTGCAGGGAAACACTTGACTGAATCTCATTCTTTAAGGAAGAATAGTGGGCTCCAGAATCGAGAATACCCAGAATGGCACAACACTCCACTCAATCTTCATTTCTAGCCACTATCTTTAAGAGATGTGCTCACAGGAGGACCAACAGAGGATTCCAGAAAAGTAAAAAAAAGAAACAAAAACAAAAAAAAACAAAAGCATATTTCCTTAAGATGGAAACTCCCTGACTACAGGTTAAATCTTTATAACCATTCATTCATTAGTTTTCAAAATGACATCAAATTCATAAAATCCCCACATTCTTTCATGCATTACTTGGAATCTCCCAAGTTTTCTACCTCTGATTCTCTTGTTACTTTAAACTAAGGTGATTAGTCAGCATATTCAGTAACTGAAAAAATGTCAGAGACAGAAACTTTAAATCCTGTCATGTCTATGGCCTAGGTGCCACTTTAATTTAATCCTGGCCTATTCTAATTATTTCTTAATTTTACCTGTTGTTAGACCAGCTGGAGGAATTTGTATTTGTACTTTAATTCCATAACTTTGATTCTCAGGCTATGGCTTAGACTCAGGTTTTTAACTACTGCCTTTTTTTTTTTTAGGTAAAATGTCTAGCTCTTTAAGATTTAGTTTCTTGATCCAATTACTTGGCCGGCACTATATTCAGATCTCTTCCAATTCCTTGCATATAAAGTGTGGGCGCGAGACTGGCTCTAAAAATAATATAGCAAACGTGGGGGCTGACAATGATAGGAAAGGGGTCATCTGGACATGCAGGCCCTATCTATAAAGCTACTCAGACCTCTAATGTGTTTTTTAGGAACCACTGATAATTTTTCAAAAATTCTATAGGCATTGATCATTTGGTTGGAAGCTTTGGTATTGCAGAAAAAGTGATTATCCTATTGATTCTGAGGCACATAGAAAGAATATGGTTACTTTTTCTTTATATTACTGATATTAAAAGAAAGAAAAAAGATATGAGGAAAACTCTAAAATTCATAGTAAATTTTATCTATTATTGAAAAGGCACCAATGACATTACCTGTTTAGCTTTTTGCCTCTGACATTCAATATATCTCAGTTTCAAAAAATATTCTTTCACTAAACATGAATGAAATTGAAGCACAGAATTTTAAGGAAGAGCTTGATGCCTCAAGGGATAGGGTGTACACAGATTAGTATGACTGGAAGTTGAACAAAGGGGCAGCCACAAGCTTTCTCCTGACCTTTTCCTTTCACCCAGTGGCATTTATATGAGCTTAGACTGCAAGTATTCTAGAGATGGCAGAAAGCAGATCAGGATACAGCTCAAGCTATAGTGATTCTTTTTTTGGTCTAAAGAAATGTAGCAAGTTATTTTTTTATCTTTTTTCCTTTGACCCCTGACATAATCAAAAAGAGGAGGATGAGGAAAGAAAGAATGAAAGAAAGAAAATAGAAGAGGAAAAGAAAAAATAAACTGTCTCAGAGTAAATATAAGAACTTAATAATTATATTCTAAATTTTATATTGGTAAATAAAAACCAAGTTTTTGATACTAAACTATAAGGCAATTACATTGTTATGAACTCTAATCTTATTCATCCTAATAGAGAAGTAATTCTTCAGTTTAGTTTTTATAGAGAAAGATTTAGGGGTTACTAGGACAAAAACAATTGTGATGAAAACCTTTATATTGCATAATGATATTTCCGATTACTTTTAAGAGCTCTTTCTATAGAAGTATTGTCTTCTGAAACAAGAAGAAAATATTGTTAACAGTGGCAAAATTGACATATCTAATGTGATATGTTAATTTGTGTTGAACTCATTAATTCCTGAAAACTTTATTAGGGATGATTTTCAAGTTTTCAATAAATGTTTGTATTAAAGTGAAATTAAATTATACACACAAACACACACACATATACTTCTGCAGTCACTTTGATGCATGTTACAAAAAGACAAAAATCACTGTAGCAGGTGCTGTTGATGCCCCATCCTGTATCTTCTTGCCCAACTGCATTCACCAGCAGTTTCAGGTGACACTTTCCAATACACCCTTATCCCTTCATCTCATTCCCTGAGAATCTGCCTGATTGCAAAAAGGACAAATTGTAAGTTTTAGTGAGTTAATATTTCTCCCTATGGCAACCTTGAAACAATGGAGAATAGGGTGGTCAATGAATAAATGCAAGACCTGCCTTTCTTTGGAAGGATGACTCTGAAGCCTGTTCTACATTCTTAGCCAGAGGATCCACAATGGATTTAGCACCTGTAGCCTACAGCGGTAATCCAATTAACAAAAATTTTTCTTCTCTCCCTCACTTTCCCTACTTTCTTACTGGTACTTCCTGGATCACCTCTTCTTTCCATTACCTGTAACCCAGCTCCCATCTCTGAGTCTATGTTTAGGAGCCCTCAAATTTGGCATAGTAGAAAAAGACAAATATGATTTGCTCATTTCAGTTACCTCTGTTGTTGAAAAGAGAAAAACTGGTCAAATTTAATTCTCATAGACTGTAAAATGACCAAAATGACTCTTTTTTTTTTTTTTTTGCTCCATGTTGAACAAGGTATAACTGATGAATAAAAATTGTATGCATTCATGGCATATAACATTAAGTTTTGATATTTGTAGACATTGTGAAATGATTAAATCAAGCCAATTAATCTATACATTGTCTCACATACTTGTCATTTTTTTGTGGTGAGAATGTTCATATCTACTCTCTTAGCAGTTTCCAAGTATATAGTGTGTTATTACTAACTGTTGTGCAGCATGGTTACTAGTTAATAATGATGTATTGACTGATTTTTAGTTTGATGGTTTTACCTGTGTAGAAAATCTTTTGATAAATAAAACGATATCAAAACTAAATAAAATATTTTAAGGGAATTGCACATTTATTTTTAGTGATACAAAACATAATTCCACAATAACAAAATTGGAGGTTGCTTCCTACTCATTTTAATAGGATTTCAACTGCTTATCTTTGTTAGTTCCAGGAAAAAAAAAGGCAATAATCTTAGTAAATTTGCTTATCACTGTCATAACTACTATCTTTTGAAATATTTGTGCTTGATTTAAATTTTAAAGTTACTTAAAGATCTTTAATGAATTCTATTCCCAATAAATTTTATTCATCTTTAATTTCTCTCTTCTTGTAAGAGGGGATAAAGCACTTTCCTAAGAGAAAACCTAACAGAGGTGATTCACACTACCTTCCTTAAAATAAATTTGTCTTTATTTCTGTTTAAATTAACCTGGGATATTTATTATACTCATAACACAAGATCGCTTACAGAACATGAGAGTGAGATTGTATATTCGGGGTTGCCCGCAGCCTAGCTTAGTTTGAGTAACTGTAAATAGTAAAACCCATACTTTTTTTTTTTTATTGGCTAATGCTGTAAGGTGGCATCTGTCATCAGCATCCTCATATAAACTCACCATTGCTACAGCATCTGTTCCATTACACAATGTTCTATTTCTGCGTCTCGCACATTTAACTAGAAAGGAACAAATAGACTATTTTAAAATAAGTTTTCAGTGTTTCTAAATGAGAATACAAAGCATCTTTGCCAGAAATGTATGTGACAGAACAGGAATAAACTATGACTTTTGAATTTAAGGAACATAAAAATGAATTAATTATTTCAATTATATTTAAATATTAAGATTGTACTACTAAATAATTAGGGGACAATTATTGAATTAAAAATGTTTTCCTTTCTCAACCATTTTTTTCTTATATATATACACCATAGTTTTCATTTTGGATTTGAAATCTATTAAGATACAGCATAAAAATGTGATACATAGTTTTGAAAGTTGTTAGATTTAGTATAATCAATTTTCTGTGCCTAACACTTCTCCTTGGACATAATGAATTAGAATTAAAATGTGAATTGACCCATCTATTCATTCATTCAATAAATATTGATTAATCATACCATTTGCCAGAACATAGTTGTAAAATTAAAAAGCAGTGGCAAAAGTGCCTAGTTTCTTTGACCTTATCATTCTAGAAGAGGAAGTCAGAAGGGAAGAATATAAAAATTTAAAATAAATAGATGACATAAGTTCTGTGAAGAGAAACCAACTGGGATATAGGAGGAAAGTAGTAAAAGAGAGTATTGCTTCAGAGTAAGTGATCTTCTAATAGTTTCTGATCAAGAATATCTTAATTCCACACCCTGCATGTTCTCACCAGCAAATTGGTATTAACAGATCAATACCTAAGTGGACATATAGGAATAACATTCATCGGGTGTCAGGCAGGTGAGAAAGGGGAGGAGGGGATGGGTATATACAAACGCCAACGAGTAAGATGTGCAATGTTTGGGGGATGGACATCCTTGAAGCTCTTACTCGAGGGGGAGGGGGGCATGGGCAATATACATAAGTTTAACACTTGTACCCCCATAATATGCTAAAATAAAAAAATTAAAAAAGAATACCTTAATTGAAGTTAATAACTGAAATAAAAGATTGCAAAATATATAAATAGTCACTTATCTCTTTAAAAAAAGATAATTAGGAGACATCTTGTATGGTTAAAATACAGGATGTGTGGCAAAATCTAGTTAGAGAAGCTATTCCAAAGGATTCAGAAAGAATATGATTCTACATACACATCTACATCCAGCTATGTCTGCAATCTAAAGGCAAGGTATAAAAGTATGCTAGAAAATCTTAACAGGCCATTCCCTAAATGGGCTCACCCTTGTGCTTCAAGTCAAGCATTTTATTTGAATGCAAACCCTACATAGAGCTTACATGACTCAACAGAGGAAAGACTGCTTTTTATTTTTGCTTCAGAAGAAATGTGGCATAAATTATTACCATAATGTTAAATTATTATTCTTACTGCTTTACAACTATTTGAGAACATTTTGCATGAGAAAAAATATGTGCAAATATAAAGAAGGCCACCCAATGTGTGAAAGGTAGCAGCATTTTGTAGCACATGGTGTGTCACTCAATAAAAGACATGACAAAATTCATTTTAGTCATTTATTCATCCAATTAATTTATTCAAACAGTATGTACTTCAGACTAAGGAGATATGTCAAAAAAGAGCCAAGAGTTTTAAGTTTTTTACTGCTGCTCACTGAGCATAAAACACTCCTATTATTTCATTATGTGTATATTTTAATTAAACTAAGCCTAGAAAATAGTACTTGATGTGTAGAATACATACTGTATATAAGCAGGGGATATGTTAAATTTAACATAAAATTTTAACTGACACTACATTAAAATATGTATAATTTATTTTCTGAACAAATAAATCAATTGATGAGTAAATCAATGAATGTATTTGAGCAAATACAACCTTTTAATATAATGCTAAGCTATGATCCTTCTTCCTTTCAAAATGTTTACAATCTAGTGACAATATCAAATATTAAATATTGAAGAAATACTAAAGAGATAGTAATTTGGTATTATATTTAACACTGATTCTACAAACTATCTGATGGTGTGTCCATATTGTTGTAGTAACCACCCACCTCAGGAATAAAAACACATGGATTCCTACACTGCCACAGAAATTTTATAATACAGTAGGGTAATTTTGAGCCTCCTTATCTACATTTTTAAATAATCTAATATGTGAAAGAGAGATGGAGAGAGAGAGAAAGAAAGAGAGAGACCCAGATGAGGTAATGTAAGTGAAAAGTTATCTAAAACTCTCTTGGCTTTAATTTTAATCACCATTAACATAGGACTTCAGAAGGGTGGAGTTTATTAATTCATTCATCTCCTTATTGAACAGATGTTTACTGAGGCCCAATTACAAGGCAGGAACCATTTTGGGTCACAGATATATAGCACAGGACAGACCAATCTCCCCCTCTAGGCAAGTTTACGTTCTAAGGAAGGGAACAGAAAATTAACAAATAAACAGACATATCCAATATCAGACAGTTTTAAGCACCTGGAAAGAAAGAAAGCAAAATGAGGAGATTCAGAATGACAGCCTGTGTTAGAACTATTTTAAACAGGGCAATTAGAGAAATCCTTTCTAAGAAATGGCATTTAATAAGAGATCTGAATGACATGAAGTTGCAAACTTTGAAGGGTTTTATGGGAAGAGAGTTTTAGGGAAATGTATAAATACTAACACGCTAGGGGAAACAAGCTTGGTGTTTTGGAAAGAGCAAGAAGGATAAAATAAATGAGGGGCAGCATGGTAGGAGATGAGGTGAGGAGTTCCTGGAGGAGGTCCTAATATTTAAGAAGATGAGGATGGTCAGAAAAGGCTTAGAGAGAATGTGGAACTTAATCAGAATCTGGAAGGGCAGAGAGGAAAAGACAGGGATTCCATCACAAGGGAAAGCAAAGGAGAAAGTGAGTAAAACAAATGTATTGAAATATCCAGGGAAGTGGGATCACAATAGAAGCCAACATAGAGATAGTGATGGAAAAAATAACTGAGAAATAAGCAACAATTAAACAGCTGTTTGATATAAAATTATCTTGTCAATGGCAAGAAGGATGGTTTGAAATGAGGAGCACCTTAAGGAAGGTTGTCTTAATCAATTTGTGGGTCAAAAGCACCGACAAATGATGTATTAGCCAGAGTAGGTTAACCAATTTAATATACAAACTACTAAATCTCACTGGATTTACACAGTTAGTTTATTTCTTGCTTATATCACAGAAGAGACAGACTCTTGTGGGGTGGGGAGGCTGTTCCGTGCAGTCATCTGGGTCTCCCGGATACCTCCAGATTGTAGCTTCACCCACCTTCAAATCTCTGTTCCTCTCCATTCAGCCAACTGATGGGAAAAGCATGGTCTGCACATTGGAGAGTGTTTAGTGTGTAGTCCAGGAAGGGGAGCAGGATGCTTCGTATTTAATATTCTGAATGTAAGTGACGTGGCCACACATTACTAAAAAGGAAGCTGGAAAACACAGTCCATTTGTATGATCAGAGAGATAACAAAACAGACAAAATACAGTCAGAGATATGCCCACACATTAGATATAAGTAGGTAGTACAAATAAGGTGTAGTCCAGAATAATATACACATTAGAAAAAATTAATAGCACATAAGAATAGGACAAAGGAAACATTAAAAGTCCAATATCACAGATACTCTCTTATTTTAATATTTCTATTATGAAAAATATGAAACAAATTGTCATCATGGAAAAGCTTTTGAGTAAACATCATTGGGGCAAAGTATAACAAAATGTTCTAGCTTTTATTAAAACATTAACTTTTCAATTGAATTTTTTTCTGGTTTCCTTCCCCCTCATAGAGTACATCAATGTTGATCATGGCATTTGGATAATGGGATTATTTTTAATCATTTATTTTCTCCATGTTCCCTAAGTGCATAATGCTAGTTCATTATGTCTTCATTCTAAAATGCAATATGTGTATGCATCTGTGTGATTTTTATTTATTGAAAAAGTTTTTTCTTCCCAATTAGAAGAAAAGAGAACTTCAATTGAGAAGGTTTTCCTCTTAAGGCAGAGATGTTATGAAAATAGCAATTTGGTAACTGGAACTATTTGGAAGCATCAATGAAAATAAGATTTTTAAACATAAAATAATATTCGTTGCAGATGTTATAATAGTTTTCAGTCCAGAAAAGATATTAAAATCACATATGGCCTCACAAATTTGGCCAGTGGACAACAGCCTATGATGACCAATGAAAAACTGGTCAAATTTACTGTGCCCTGAACATGATTCACCTATGTAACATCTATGTAATAGTAGTAGTAGCAGCAATGGTAGGAATTATAATAAAGCAATTACACTTAATGACGACAACAAAAAAACCCTCACTTTGACATAGAAGACTATCTTGAAACACATGATCCATTCGGTAGCAATTCTCCTCTTATAGGAGACATAATACAGAATTATTGTCAACCGCATTCAGGAATACCAGTAATTAAACCTATTTCAGTCAGATAACTCTTGGTTTTACATCATACCTGAAACAATTCTTCTGTCATTTTCTCTCTCTCTCCCTCTCCTCCACTTACAAGATACAAGGAATTATCTAATGTCTGAAACTGAGGGGATATTATCATTGTTAACTTCTAGTATAGACTAATATTTTAATGGTAATGTTCAGCTAAATCATTGTTTTTAAAGGTTTTTTTTCCCTTTGCATACCTCCCACAAGAATTTAGAATAAAACAAGTGTCAAGAAAGTTTCCAGGTTGACAAATTTTAGCAATTTAAATTGTTAAAATGTTGAAATTTGTTTCTTTCAAATAGTAGCATTTTAAAATTAACAGATTATGTCAGTCTTTTAATTATATCCAATGGGATCTAAATATCAATGATTTGATATACAGCATCACTGATTTAAAAGAAATATGTGAACAAGTATAATATTGCATAATATTTTCATATTTAGATCAAAATTTAATCCCAATTCCTTCATAGGATTTTATTCAAATACATATAATACATTTAAGTCTTTTGGTAAAAGTCTTTTTTTTGTTTCTCTACAACACAAAATATATGTTTAAATTTAAAATCATTTTTGAAATTTCCTGTGAGTGTAAGACAGTAAGTATTGGGGTTTTTTTTGTTTGTTTTCTTTTTTTTTTTGAGACAGAGTCTCACTCTAGCCCAGGCTAGAGTGCCATGGCATCAGCCAAGCTCACAGCAACCTCAAATTCCTGGGCTCAAGCAATCCTTCTGCCTCAGTCTCCTGAGAAGCTGGGACTACAGGCATGCACCACCATGCTCGGCTAATTTTTTTTATTTGTTTTTAGTTGGCCAATTAATTTCTTTCTATTTTTAGTAGAGATGGGGTCTCACTCTTGCTCAGGCTGGTTTCGAACTCCTGACCTTGAGCCATCCTCTTGCCTTGGCCTCCTAGAGTGCTAGGATTACAGGCATGAGCCACCAGGCCCGGCCAATATAGTAAGTATTTTTAAAAACTTATTCTAACTTGATATATCTTTACTATTATATATAAATGTAACACACAAAAGATCTTTGGTCATGTATCCCTGGATGAATATTATTTATTGTGAGAACAATGTAGGGATCAACATGCATCTCATTCCAAAAAAAAGGTCTTAGCATGAAGACACTGTATTTATATAGGCAAATAGAACAGATAAAATTGCTATAAGCATTTGACTCAACTCTTCAAATCTGAGTTTTGTGCCCAAAATCACATGTTCTTTTCCCAGTAACAAACATTTTTAATAATCTGTCTCTGACAACTAAACTTCATTCTTCTTCAATTTTGCTGAAAACTATGATTTGGGAAACATCTGAAAAAAATATTTGTTTTCCATTAACAGTCATCACTTATTTTCCCAGTGCTGACACCAATATCTGGTTTATCCTGTATAAGCATGTGTGTATGTATGTGTGTATATGTAACACCCTGATGTTTACTCATGTTTGGATTATTTCACATCCTGGCACAATATAACATAATTAGCCTTCAGATGCATGAGAAGTATTTGTTTTTAATATAAAGTGGTATAAAGTAACTGTATATTTGTATATTATAAGTTGTAATTTAGTATGAAGTAACTGAGAAAGAGGAAGTAGGAAAGGAGCTGCTTGCCTCAGGAACACTATCAGTCCCAGTCTCTTAACTCCAGGGTCTGTCTACTGCAATTGGAAGACAACTGGTCTACGAAGGCCATCTACAAAGTGGGGACAATCCTTTAGAGGGTATGGATTTACAGACATTGGTTCCTTGCTTAGTTCTTTTGAGTGGTCACATGTCACAGATGGCATGCAACATGCCCTGTGTTGAGAGAGTAGAAGCTCCTATCCTGGAGATATTGACGATGTCATACTTAATCTTTTATTTACGTCAGTAATTTGTGACTTCTTGAAAGTGCATGTGCACAGTTGAGTGGACTTACACACTGTGACTCGTAGTTTTGATTAATCATACTCACAAAATGGACAAATGGCTTAGAAAGATTTCTGCTAAATAAACATTTATTAAAAATACTATAGGCTTACTAATCCAAACAGGAGTAAACATCAAAATATGGCAGTACTAGTATTTATTAACCAAGTTCAATCTTTTCTTAGGCCATGCCACAAGAGAAAAGCAATGCAGGTCTTAATTAAAATGAAAATAAGTCAGTAAGATTTTTTTTTAATCATCAACAAGACAATTTGAAGTACATAATTTATAAATAAAAAAATGTGTTTTGGGATATTTGTCCCAAATATTTGAATGATAGGATATGTTATTTAAAAACTTTAGAAACTTTTTTTCTAGAGAAAGAGGAAGCATTAATTTTTCTATGTGATAGAAAGGACAGGAGCTCTCTAACTGCCTGTCTAGAAGTTTTACTAAAATTATTTTCTCTATATATTTAGCACTAAATGAAAAAAGAGAAGACTCAGTGAGGTCTTGGGACAGTCCATTACCAATGATGCTTTAGACAACATAATTATGCTGCCCGACATGTGTAAATAGTATAGATGGTATAATTTTCATAATTTATATGTAAGTAATTCAGAAAGTGTTTTTTTAAAGCAACAAAAAAAATTAGGAAATGTATGTATTTAGACATAATTTTCTTATAGGATGAATGGTTTCCCAGCAACATTCTTAGTCAATGTAAATTTCAACAGAACTTCCAAAATATTTGAGTTATGGGATGAACACACCTTTGTCTCAAGCTGGCATTGATATCACAGGGAGGCGGAGGACTATGCAGAAACACACAGACAAATCTTCCCCAATTTCACAAGCTGGCCACAATTATCTGCAGTAATTTCTTCAGAGCTACAGATTTCCCATTTAAGATTTTGTGTATGTGTTCTCTAAAGCTGGGCAGGTATTCTATTAAGTAATAACACTACCATTAATTTACATGCCTCAGGTCAATGAACATTGAACTATGAATATTTTCCTTTCACTGTGGACTAAATTATAGACACTTAATTCCTAAAAGATGCAAGATTTGAAATACCACTATGTTCTAATGCAATCAATGGGTACTTGAAATGTCTTCCAATTGAGTTTCTTATTTCAGATCTTATAACTGCAAACCAGACAGGAAGAACATAAAGTGCTATACAACTCAAAGCAAAATTTACACAGTTTAGAACACCTAAACACCTGAAAAAGCACTGAGATAAATAAATGAGTATGTCTGTATTAATTAGCAATTCTCAAGCTAAGGGAGATGTAAGCACAATGAACTATAAGGTTGAAGTTAAGACTGACTTGAAAACAATTTTTAAAATTCAGTTGTAGAAACAGCTGTAGGAAAGAACTATAAAAATTGTAAAAACAGATCTTCATCAGGCATTGAGCTTTTTCAGCCATATTTGCAAATACAATTAGAGCAATTTAAGCAGTAGTTGTGTGCAAATTTGAAGAGCAATTATGCACATGCATAAGTCTCATTAGAAATTTAATGTACATCTTTCTAAAATAGATTATTATCTAAAAGTTAACTGCTTTTTACTTAAAATAGTGAAACTGATTGCGATGACTCATAACTAAAACAAGGTTTGTCTTTTGCTTTTTAATTTGGACTTCTGTTTGAAAATGATACCTAGGATACCATCAAAAATTTTTCATTAAGCTAGAAAGAAAAACTTATTCCACTCAAAAAAAGAAAAAAATGCCCAGCATAATAAAATTAGTTCCAAATTTAATCCTTGACATCTTATCTACTTTTGTGATTTCCTTAAGGTAATGCTAAGAAAATTTAAAGCAGTTCCTCTTAAACTGTGTCTTCTTTCCCAATTTTGCTACTATTCCAAAATAAAACCCATAAAAGACTGCTTAGAAGATGAGAAAAAGCAGAGAATAAGGAGAAAATGCATTCATGTTATGTATTTATATAAATATATTTTTGTTTTGCTAGACTGAAAATATGTATGTGTTCTGAATGCAAAGATACTTGAACATCAGCATTTTTTTCAGTATTTTCTAAGTTAATATACCTTGATCTTAAGAGTTTGAAAATATTTCTAACACATTAAAGGAAGTATGAATTAGATATAATTCTCATATATAGTGGTTACCACAAGATTACAAAGTATGACAATTTATGAAAAGTTCCTATCTATAAATAGGAAGGAAGATAACATTAAAAAATCAATTTAACTCAATTCATAAACATGATTTAAATATATACATATCTCAGACTTTTATAGACATTGTCAACAAAAATGACTAGTACTGGTTTTCTGCCACTAAAGACTTCACATAGTAAAGGAAAGTCACTGGTAGCCCCAAGTGTAAATGCTACCTTGGAAGTAATAGCAAAATACAAGAGGAAAGAGTCATTCATTCTCTATTTATTAAGGTATAACTGTGTATATATATGTGTATATATATATATGTATGTATATATAGATATGTGTGTGTATATATCTACACACACATTATTACTAACTATAGTCACTGTGTCAAAATTATTTATCCTGTGTAACTGAAACTTTGTCTTCTTAACCAACAATTCCTCATTCCCTGGGAATTCAGTGTTTAAGGTTGTGGCCTGTTAGTAAATAGGCCACTTGAATAAGAAGTGGTGCTTGCACAGCTCATTATAGAATGGGAAGGAACTCCACAGATTGAGAAGTCAAAAGGATGACATTCCAGCTCATTGCTAACACTTTGATGTATTTTTTCTCCATCACTTCAGATATTATCTAACTCTTTTTCAAATTTTCTTATCCCTCAGGTTTTGTTTGAAAAGGCATTTTCTAAGAGAGATCATCCATGAACCAACAATAATGAATAGCTTTTGCTTGTTATTCAGTTTGAGCATCTTAACTTTTATTTATTTATTTATTTATTTATTTATTTTTTTAGAGACAGAGTCTCACTTTGTTGCCCAGGCTAGAGTGAATGCCATGGCTTCAGCATAGCTCACAGCAACCTCAAACTCCTGGGCTCAAGCAATCCTACTGCCTCAGCCTCCCTAGTAGTTGGGACTACAGGCATGTGCCACCATGCCTGGCTAATTTTTGTATGTATGTTTTTAGTTGTCCAATTAATTTCTTTCTATGTATAGTAGAGATAGGGTCTCGCTCAGGCTGGTTTTGAACTCCTGACCTCGAAAAATCCGCCTGCCTCAGCCTCCCAGAGTGCTAGGATTACAGGCGTGAGCCACTGCACCCGGCCAGCATCTTAACTTATAATCAAGGAATTTAAGCTGTTCATATTTATTTCCATAATGTTATATTTGGTCCAATGCATAGTTTTATTTTATGATTTTTTTCATTTCTCTTGTTCCATCCTTTGTTTTATTGACTTATTTCCTTCTGTGGTC